ATGAACACCTGTATGTGGTAATGAAACAATAATTGGGGTTAAGTTTTAAAAGCAACATTGGTTCTTCCTACCTCTTGTTTTATTGAAGGTAAATGGAGCATATATATCCCCACATGCTTTTAAAGCTCTGATGATCTTAAAAAGGCATCTCACATGAATGAAAAGAACAACCCACATGTTTTCACGTGATCTCATATTTAATTTACCCTCCTGAGCAGATCAATAGTTATGTGCTGAGAAACTGCTTTTCAGTACTGTTGTGGAGTATGCAAAAACATGGAAAAATCAATTTCTTTTTCCTGTCTCAAGAGACTCGCTGTGTTTCCTATTGCTCATGGCAACAATAATCTCAACCTTTTATTTATGTTCTCTAAGCTTGGGACATTGAAAGTCAATAGTAAGGCCTGGGGTGGGGAGCAGGGGTGGGGTGGGAGAGGTCAATGGGGGAAAAGGAGACATATGTAATACTTTCAACAATAAAGATTTGATTTTTTAAGAAGGAAGTCAGTAGTAACATATTCAGAATGATTGAAACTGCTTTACTTGTCATCATTACCATGGCTACTAATAAGGTATTAGGCTCCAATATGTGGAATTGCTGAAATGAGCATTGTATGAAGCAAGTTTGATATGAATTCTCAGGAGGTTTAATACTTAAAATTGTACATGAAAATAAAGAGTAGATACAAGATTTTGAAAAGTATAAGAAAGTAAAGACAGTATATTAAGAGGGAAGAACAATAGTATCTAGTTCTGTGTTCCACCTATTTTATTGAGCTATCAAGTTCTTTATTAAATCATTTTTAGCATGTTTGAAGTGATCCATACCTTTTAAGAATCTTCATATTTTAAGTCAATGTCTTACTTTATAGTTTCTCTTTCTATTCACCTGATGGGACCCATGAAAGTTGATATTTAAAAAAAATTTATATGTTCTTATTGATTTTTAGAGCGAGAAGGGAGACAAATAGAGATAGAAACATTGATCAGCTGCCTCGTGAACGTGAACGCCCCCTATTGGGAATTGAGTCCGCAACCCAGGCATGTGCCCTGACCAGGAATTGAACCAATG